GTGTGTGTGTGTGTGTGTGTGTGTGTGTTTGTGTGTGTGTGCGCGCTCCTTTCATATTCACAGCCATACACACCCAGTCACCAGAGGGCAAAAATGAAAAGGGTGGTGGGTTTGATGAAGACCCTTGCACATGTCTCTCTGCTCATTGTCTTTTTATGCACATCATTTGTCTGATTTGCTGATTTTTTTTTATTATCTCACCAATTCTTGGTTGCGCAAATGGTTGTGTAAGTAGCTATGAAGTAAAMGAAAGCAGAATGTTTAGTAGAAACCAACATGTGAGGTTTTATTAAGAGTGAAAACCTTCTGAAATGATTTTTTTTTGTTTGTTTGTTTGGAAAGAACCTTGGATTTAATAGATTTATATTTGTCTGTGAAAGCTGATTTTCATGGTTTTCCTGGAGTTTTATTTTTCAGTTTCAGTAGACGATATTCTTTTTACAAGAAGAAACTGAATTAGAAAGAAAGAAAGAAAGAAAGAAAGAAAGAAAGAAACCTTTAGGCCTTCTTTTTCCTTTTCTCTGACTCAATATTTGGAATTTGACCTTATTTCTTGTTTTGGGATTTTGGGAAAAGAATCCTCCTGACACACCCTGTCATCCCTCTACTCCCACCCCACCTCACCCCGCCAACCTTCAGGCAGTGCACCTGGGTACAACACATGCAAAAACACACAGATCCACACATACACACATTCCCCTGTGCATATAAAAGGAAAATCTAAATGTAAGCCCTCACACACAAACTGTCAGCATAGTTTTTAACATTCAGCCACATTGTGCACCATATTTGAGCTCAGTCTTTTGCAGCAATGCTCCTGATATTCATTGTCAGGTGGTCTCCTATTAGGGCTTGTAACAGCAACAATACCACAGCCACATGGGAAATGACACACACACACACACACACACACACACACACACACACACACACACACACACACACATACAGAATTTGAAAACCTCTGAGAAACACGCAGCAGGATTGATCTCCCTCTGCAGTATTGATTGGCCGACCCCCCCGGCTCAGACCAGGAGATACCAGCTGGGTCGAGCCATGCGGTTCCTGAGGCATCCGCCTCCTGCAAGGAAGATGGAAATAATGACGCTGTGAGCTCCTTCGCTGAGAGAAATTCTGATGGCTGCGAAAGGGCAAAAAGTCCTCAGGGACTTTTCTGAAAAAGGCCGCTCCGAGCCCTTTTTAACCTCTGCCCTGGTCCTGCTGAAACGTGTGTGTTGGAGTGTATTTTTTGTGTCATTTCCCACACACACACAGCTCTAGATGAGAGCCAGTAGACAATAACAAAAACTGTGTCTTTTGTGCGCCTCTGCAATTTACTCTAGTTCCACTCACACACACTCAGCAGCTGAAATAAAATTTGCAGTATCATAGATGACTTTTATTGATTATATAATTTTACTGTTTTTATTACTGAGGAACAGAGCAGTATTATAGATTATGTGTAAAACAACCAAGATGTTTCTTTTGCAAAGCTACAAGGCGTTCTCAGCATAAAATCATCTTACGAAGCTTAATAATCTATACAGAGCTTAGTGAAACATGAACTAAGGGCTGTTTGAAATTAATTCACTGCTCAGTCTGTTTAAATGTTCAGCTGTCCTTCAAAAATCAGAACGTTCTGCTGCACCTTAAATCAGGACAAAATTATGAAGGACAGATTAAAAAAACTAACAGTGAACAAAAACAAAATCAGTTTCCTCTTTGCTTATTATTTTTGAACTGAGGTTAGTTTAAATTGTAATGAATCAAACATACAAATCGGAGTTTATTAAATAAGTTACTGTTCAATAAGTAATGACAGTAATATAACTGATGACATTTTCAAGCAGTTTGCAGTCGAACTGTCTCAGTGTTTTACTCTGCTTTGCGCCGCATGAATTATTCATTTTCCATCTTTATCCCATGTGTAGACACTTACTAAAGACCAGAATGTGTCTAACAGATATCCTGCAGGAGAGGACTGAATCCACTGAAGTTCCTGCTGCTTTGATGCAGCTTCAGCTTAGGAGAAAAATCCACACGAGCACAAATATTTCAACAAGGAGCATGTATAGTAAATCACGCACGTTCACTTGAGGCATTGGAGGAATTTGTGCAGATCTGACACGCACTCGGCAATAAATCTTTTTTCTCACATGTCACGGCTGCAGTATGTGGGCCCGAAACACGGTGGAAGGCAAGGAGTCGAGCAGATGTGATACGAAAAAAGAGCTTTGATRGGGGGRAAAAAACTGAAACTAAACAGTAACATGAAGTGCTGTGCTTGCCAAGTGATTCGATAGAACAAAAAGGGCAAGAGAAACTGGCRACTGAACAAAACACAAGTTTTTATGCCAAGAACCTGGCATGGAACAAAGGAAAGCGGGTAGAGAACATACTGAGGTAACAAACACAAATGTACAACAGGTGGGGGGCAATTGGCAAACTRAAACCAGGCGTGAAACATGGTCAACAAGAGGAAAAAAATGAACAAAAGAAAATACATTTTAGACAAGAAGAATAAAGAATAAACACAATTTAAATGACAAAAAAAACTTGGATAAAAATAAAAGTCATTTAATCATATGAAAGTTGATTAATGTTTGCAGCTTCCTGTTCAGCCTCAGCTGTTTAAACGCTGATCTGACGTGGCACACTTCAGTTTGACTTTGAGACAGCCGTCCATCTCTGCTGCTCTTTGGTGTCTCTCTCCAAACTCTGCCCTCGTTTTACCTCTTTGACAAGCTCGCTCGCTCAAAAGCGCACTGTCAAGCCGTCAAACTTTATGAAATATAGAAAATGGGGGATGGATGAGGGGAGATCGGGTGGGGAGAGGAAGAGAAGACGAATAGTGGGAATATGAGAGAAGTGTAAAAACAGAAAGGAAAGACAGATTGAGAGGGTGAGAAGAGAGATATGAGCTCTCTGTGGCAAAGGACAATAAAGTGTGAAAGGCTCTTCCTTTGCTGGACGTCCTCCCCTCGGGGGTCTCTGTGACAGAGAGTCCTGCAGAGTCCCAGTTAAAAGGGGAAAAATGACAGGAGCCATTTTTCTCTTTGTCTCTCTGTGGCCCTTCAGGATGAAGGTTTTTTTTGTGCGTTTGTTTGAGTGTGTATGTCTGAGAGTGACGGAGAGGAAGAAGGACAGGATGAAGCAGACAGAAAAAGAAGGACAGAGGAAGCCCTTGGGGTCCRGTAAACCAGGCCTGCTCTGAACAGGAGCGCCTCGGAGGATCTTGTGTGGGAGGACAGGTGTCTTCAGTATTTTTAGACCCAGATTATGGTCAGACTCATGCATCGGCTTATACAACGCACACACATACACAAGCTGAAATGACCCATGAACAAAACACAGTTTCCTTCATTTGTACCATATAACCTCTGTGAAATACTGCTGCATAAAACTGATGAGAGCCAAAGACGACGCCAGCCACTTTTATAAACAGTTTATCTCTGATTATTCTGTCACTCTTTGTGTTTTTCTTTCATGTTTCGAAGCGAGGCTGGCACCTCAGGGCAGCGTGGCAGTGGTTCCCTGAAAATATTAGCATCATAATAATTCACAGGCAGGAGATATGGAAATTAATTTTTTTTTTTTTTCATTTTGCAGCATGCAGCAGAATTCCACTAAGTCATCCAGTGACATGTGACAAATAAAGACAGGACAGTCTGAAGTGGAATGAGAATCTGTAAGTGTGTAATGTCTTCATGTGCCATTCAAGTGACAGCATGAGTGTTTATGGTCAGTACCAGAATAGGAAATAAGTGAAGTRTTTGGAAATAAAGATGTAGATAAATTTGTTTGTAACTTTTARGTTAAAAAATAGATGAAAGGTTTCTGAAATAATTTGAAACTGACAAAAGTGACGACACAAAAAGATATGATCAAAGTTCAAATAAGTCTTCATAAATGAATGTTGTAATATCTGAACACCTGAATGTGTGTGTGTTTGTGTGTGTGTATATACTTGTTTTTGTTACCTATTTAGGACCGTTTCTGGTATACACACATACAGTAGTCCTAATGGGGACCAAAGGCAGGTCCTAATATGGTGGAACTCCGTTTTTGTGTCGGGGTTGGGTTTAGGACCAAGGTGTGAATTGGGTTTAGGTTAGTTTTAGGGTCAGGTAGGTAGGTACCTGTGAGGTTAGCCTTAGGGTTTGTGGTCAGGGTTAGGCTGTAGAAAATACTGGGCATGTATGGAAGTCAACGAACAGTCCTAATAAGGATAGAAATACAAACATGTGTGGTTACGGCTTTGGTGACATTTGGGGGCAATTTTAAGACAAAAATCCTACCTTCGGAGACAGCTGGTGCATTTGGGGACAAAAGTCGAGTCCCCATTTGATTTAAATGCCATTGGTGGGTTGGGGGTTTGGTTTAGGACCAAGGTGTGAATTGAGTTTAGGTTAGTTTTAGGGTCAGGTAGGTACCTGTGAGGTTAACTTTAGAGTAAATGGTCATGGTTGGGCTATAAAATTACCATAAAATGAATGGGAGTCAATCCACGGTCCCCACGGGATATAAAAACAAACCTGTGTGTGTGTGTGTGTGTGTGTGTGTGTGTGTGTGTGTGTGTGTGTGTGTGTG